GACAGCTGATGATTCATTGTATTCTTTCACTGAGCCGGCCTCATTAGATCCAAATGTTGGTGGTATATTGTTCCTTTGCATAAAAATCTAATGAACCTTCGATGATTTCTTGAGCAATTAATTTTGACACAAATGTTACAATTTGGGCTTGGTCGATCGCAATAGCTGACGTGTACATTCGACGTCCATGAAAGTATTGCGGTTTAATTTCCGTATAATTTCCTAAATCTAAAAATTTTTGCACCATACCAATCGCATTGGAATATCTTGGCTCTTCAATATAATCATGTAAAGTATAAACGATTGCTGGTTTCGGCATTCTGACCTTTCCTTTTAAATATAAAGATTTCAAACAAATTGGGGAATTTTATATAGAGCGGCGGCTGATATATTATTTGTACCAAGTAAAACAGAAAGTTTTGGATTAACAGCAGCCGAAGGATTATTGTTTGGATGTCCAATAGTTAGTACCGGCGTAGGAGGATTAAAAGAATTTTTAGTTAATAAGACAAGTTCAAGTATGAAAGATGGTTATAATTCTTATTTATTTAATTTATTAGATGAAACAAACATTAAACTTTCAATTAATGAAATGAAAGCGGCATTAAATAATTCTATAAATGATTTAAAGATATTAAACAATAATCTTATTGAAAAGGAAATATTTATTAGAGATTTAATTAAGGGGGCATTAAGATTAGGATGGAATAGACCTGGCGGTCCCGTAGAAATGTACACCAGAACATATAGAATGGCTTTATTAAAATTAAGAAAAAATATTGATCATGTAGAAACATTATTAAGCGGATAATAGTAATATTTGATTAACGAAAAATAGTTTATAGATTTTTGAAGACGTATTACTTATTAATCATTACAATTTTAAATATAAATTAATTTAAACCTAATATATCTTAAATTTGATTGATTAATTAAAATTATTAAAATCAAGTAACTTTAGTCTCTAAAAAGGGCTAAAGTTCTAGTAAATCTTTTTGTATTTCTTCTGTTATTTAACAACATCGCATGTCGGCAAATTGCATGCATTAATTACAAGATGTTTGATGATCTTAAATGTTGGCTAGAAGGGGTTCCGGATTTGTCATCAATTTAGAGAAAGAGATTTGTACAATGCATAGTGGCGCTCAATTGCTTTTGATGGTTGATCATTATTTAATACATTAATCATATTGATATTCTTAATTAAAATGATTAGTAACGTGATAAAATTGTGATAAAAAAATACTACGAAACTATAAAAAAACCTTTGAATACACCAAATATTGATATTGATATGCAGAAATCGATCTATCAGAAGATCATTGAAAAATTCGTTAATCATTTGATCTGATCTTTTGCAAAAATTTCTTTTTATAAGTAGTATAGTATTTATTATTGTCAAATAAATAAATCGTTATTATAAATAATATATTATTTCTTAATAAAATTTTTAAATTTTTAAAAAAATACTAAAATACTCAAGAAATGTATCAGAGATTTTTGATTAAATATTATGTAATTAAAAAAATAAATAATTATTTTAATTATTTTAAAATTATATATAAATAATAGCAAATGAGTAAAATATTATTATAAAATATTATCAAAAAAAAGTCTTTAAAAATCTATATACAGTTTACTTTATTTTAGATATCATATTTAATACATTTATTTTTTTTTAGCAATCTTATTTTTTTAATAGTAACATACTGTATTTTTATATAATACTATTTTACTATTTTAATTATATATAATTAATAAATAATGTAAACTATTTTTAATATTAAATACAGATTAAAAATATTTAAATTGAAAAATATAAAAATATATTAAATATGATTTGATATTAAAACCAATTCTTATAAATTAAAATATTTATAATAAATTCTTTATATAAAAATAT